TTCTGGGAGTGATATGCCTTATAATCACGCAATGCAAATAATCAAGCCTGATAAGCAAGCAAACCTTCAATGTCATCAAGCAAAACTCCAACCACAAGTACTACTTGATAGACACAAATCAACTCTTCAAATTTTATGCCCCGGCTCCAGTAGTCATTGATGTGTTTCCCAACCCTAGCTGGGGAGTTTAGCATCCAGAATGATGCTGCTCCAGTACTTAACCAAGTCAGCTGATTAAGTTAACCACTTGGTAATATTCTGTAAAGTATCAGTTGTATGAACAAAGTTGACTACTCTTATATTCTTTCAGATCACAATCTGTCCTGGATGCTTACCTCTGCCAGAAACCATGCTTGTGAGGCTGGATTGGGGGAAACACATGAAAGACAGGGTATGGTCCTTGCCCTTCAAAGTGTACTGAGTTAAATGCTGTGCAAACAGTGACTGAGTATGTTACATGATTGGCATGACGCTGTCTGTCTTAATGAACAATACTTTGCTAATCACCTGCTACATGCCCAGCCTAATGATGCTGAGCACAGAAAACAGCAGTCCTGTGTGAGGGGACACACAGTCTTCTGGAGCACGAGACAGCAAAGAACATGATTAGGTCATGAGGAAGACAGTACATCACAGGGTGATGACTAGGGAAATGGGAAGCCAATTATCCTAGCTAGGCATGGTGGTATACACCTGTAATTCCAGTGCTCAGGAGGCTAATGCAGGAGGATCACAAGCTCTGAGCAAGCCTGGGCTATATAATGAGACCCTGTCTTTAAAACATATTATACACAATGGAATTTTATGCAGCCATGAAGAAGAACGAAATGTTATCATTCGCTGGTAAATGGATGGAATTGGAGAACATCATTCTGAGTGAGGTTAGCCTGGCTCAAAAAACCAAAAATCGTATGTTCTCCCTCATATGTGGACATTAGATCAAGGGCAAACACAACAATGGGATTGGACTATGAGCACATGATAAAAGCGAGAGCACACAGGGAGGGGTGAGGATAGGTAAGACACCTAAAAAACTAGCTAGCATTTGTTGCCCTTAATGCAGAGAAACTAAAGCAGATACCTTAAAGCAACTGAGGCCAATAGGAAAAGGGGAACAGGTACTAGAGAAAAGGTTAGATCAAAAAGAATTAACCTAGAAGGTAACACCCACGCACAGGAAATCAATGTGAGTCAATGCCCTGTATAGCTATCCTTATCTCAACCAGCAAAAACCCTTGTTCCTTCCTATTATTGCTTATACTCTCTCTACAACAAAATTAGAGATAAGGGCAAAATAGTTTCTGCTGGGTATTGAGGGGGAGAGGGAGGGGGCGGAGTGGGTGGTAAGGGAGGGGGTGGGGGCAGGGGGGAGAAATGAACCAAGCCTTGTATGCACATATGAATAATAAAAGAAAAATGAAAAAATATAAAAATAAAAATAAAAAATAAAAAAAAATAAAACATACAAACAAACAAACAAACAACAGCAGTGACACCCTACATCCTGAAAATGGACCTCTTACGAGCTTTAATGTTATGAAACTGCTTGCCTGACAAGTTTGCATTTATAATCCCCTTACCCTTAGTGGGTGCTAGATGGTGACTCTCAACCCTATTCTGCAGCTAGATCGTGAGCCTTGACACCAGCTTGGTGTGGTGTCCACAGTAAGGGAGGAGCTAAAGAGAGCCAGGTTTTTTGTGGATGTCCAGCCTCATGTCCCACCTCGGGGTCTGTTTGTAACATTGCTCGTTCCTGTTGGTCAGAGACTATATGATGACTAGATCGACCATGTACATCAATGTAAATTGTTTCCAGAGGTAATTGAGTGCCCTTAGGCCATTAGAATGTCACTTAGTGCATAAGTTAAAACAAAAAAAAGAAATACAAGAAGTGGAAATTATTTCCGTTGTGGATCAGGGCAGGCTGCATATTTTGAACCAATTGGTACTGCCTTTGTATGTGTCAGATAATCTGGGAGGTACCTCCTTTAGAATGGGCCCAGTGAAGCTTAACATGTAGAGGAAAGTCTTTTCAAAATGAACTACACCATAGGTGGAATGTGACAGTGTGATGCAAGATCTATCCAGGTAGGCTGTGTTGTAGGACGTAGTTTTGGACCAGAAATCTTTGAAAGTCAAATGCTTGCTATTCCCACTGCAAGCTAGTGGGCACTAAGTGTAGAGCCTATTTTTTTTTTGTCTTTATAAAACTCAATTAAAATATGCAGGGGCAATAATCTCCCCTTTCTGAGCTCCCAGGGTGATTGATAGAGTTATTTCTAAGTACTTTTAGGCTCAGTGGGATTATTTAACCAGTCGTGGTGGAATCGTGTGGAGTCCAGAAAGAAAGGCCACAAAAATTAAAAAGTCAGAGTGTCTAGAAGAAAGGGGACGAGAGACCTGAGCCCAGGACATCCAGGAGAGAGGATGGAAGTGTGCTGTGTCCAGTGTCGGGGTGCAGAACAGTTTGGACACGAAGCTCACTGTGTGTTTACCAATGCAAACGTTAATAGTGAGGCAAGAAAGTGCCACCATGTGCTGAGGTTTTTCTTTTGCTGATTTTTGTCAGCATCTCTGGGAGCCTGCAGATCCAGAAGGGGCCCTTTGCTAGCCACGTTGGCAGCCCACGTTGCTCACTGCGATCGGGCAGGTTAATGTACTGCTGCCAACCCTCCAAAGTGAGGCAATCAGAAGCACTGCTTGATAGAAATAAAATTAAACGTGGTGGGAGGAGGGCAAGCCTGCGGTTGGTATTTCAGCCTCTGGCACAGTTCTCCTCAAATCACGCCTCCCTGGAAGGCAGTATCAGCAGAGTGGCTGAGGGGTGCCCCAGTGCCAGATAAATCCTCCCCCCTTTTTAAATTTCTTTTGGATCTATTTGGGCACTGTGGAGTGGAAGAGTTTATGTTGGCCTCCTTCCTAGAAGGGAGCTGCAGGAATGAGGATGTCGTCCCATGTCACATCTTAGGGTGCCACTGTCGCGGTCTATCCTGCCCCTCCCTGGGTCTCTGCCCCTCCCTGCCAATCAGTTCTCCCTTTCCTGTGCTCTCCGGTGATTTGGTTCTGTGCCCTGAATTCTTATCTCCTACCAGAATGACACAACAACAACTCTGATACCATGGCTGCAAAAGGCGTTTCTCTTCCTTCTCTAGCACGTGTCAGGTCAGACTTTCAAAACAAGAATTAAGTGACTAAAGGGGAACTAAGCTGGACTTTGATCACACTCTGGCTTTGAGTCCAGTAGCCTCTTCCCTGGTTCTGCAGATGCTTTTTGCAAGTTAGCTGATACTGTGGGAAATATCCCACTGGGTTGTTTTGAAATGTGGAGCATTTCAAATGCTGTCTCTCCCAGTGGCCTTCCATGTTTTTATTTAAACTGTGGACTTGTTTTCTGCAAAATAAACTACCATTGCTAATCTTGCTATATAAAACTCATAGATGTGGATGTGCTCTTCCTGTGCAGGAGTGGAAGGGAGGTTAAGGGAGGCCTGGAGTCAGCATGCTGAGCTGTACCACTTCCTGGGACCTGGGACCACCACATGCCATTGTGCAGCCCCGTTTCAAAGGCCTGTGGATGCAGAGCCACACAAACATACTTGGGGGCTAGCAGAGGCTGGACCCCCACCCCATCAGTCATACTGTTTCCACCAGGACTCTTGAAACCCCATGTTCAAGACGCTGGTCTCTTCCCCAGTACAGATAGAACTATTTTATGGCGTGTTTTTTACATGCTCTTTCCAGGCTGGTCACAATTAGGATGTAATTTTATATTTTACTATTTTAGCAAAGGGTTTTGGCAAAATAAATGGTGGTTGCCAGTAATTTGCTGTTTTTTTGCTGTATCAGAATTTCATCTCCCAGTAGTGCAGTTAGTGGAGGTGTTTCAGATGTAGGAATCTGAATCATGGAAAATGGCATTTACCCTGCAATGGCGGTGCCCCAGGTCGAAGTCTGGGCTTGGGGCTGTGTGGCTCAAATCCAGAGAACAGAGGTTCTGGCTCCTTCTGAGCTGCTTCAACCTCCAGCCCAGCTGAGGCCAGTTATGCTCCATTTACAGGAAGCAGCAGAGCTGGCGCCTGCCTCATGTGGTGTTAAGTAGATGTGAGCTTTTTCTAGCTGCACAAAACTCTTTCCTGGAGAGTCACCTTGACTAGAGATGGTTTGTTGTGAAGAATCACAGTCTGTGTAGTTAAGTCAAAGAACCATAAAGCAGAACTCAGACTTTATATTCTGTGACTTTTCATTGACTTCCACCATGGCTTTTAGACACTACATTTCCACTTTGCTGTCATTAATTGATGGAGTTTCACAAATTTACTGAAGAACAGGACACAGGCAGAGAGCACTATATGTGTAGAAGGTGCCATACACATTTTTATAGATACTCACAAGTTCTGTGGACACTTCAGTGGGGAATCAAGGGAGCCTCAGCTTAAAGAAAGTAGTAATAATTATAGGATCAATTGTTCATCTTCTGTTTCTCACTGATTCCTTTTCCTGCCTTGAGAGTCTGTGGTAAGAAGCATTGGTACATTTAACTCTATTGAATAATCAGTTAATTGATTTATTGCAGGCATGGCCTTTCGACTTTCGGTTCCTTAGCCTCTGCTGGGAGTTTTGTTACCTTCTTGGCCCTGTTTATTGTATCCCCATCGTGCAGATAACTGACAACTTGGCACGAAGCAGATGGGAAAAAAATACATTCTATAGATCTCAAAGCTTAGTTGTTTAAATGTCAGTCTCTTCTGAGGTGGATGGCTCCCAAGACCTTGATGGGTTTTGAAATATGTTCTAAATAACCTCTTTTTCCATGTGAACATAGGACTCGGTGGATGAAGGTTATTTTCAAGTAGCCCTCAAGGTTAAAGTTGGTTGCTCTTCCAGATGGTTTCTATCTAATTCTTTGGATTATGATATCAAACCACCCTGTGATCAGGACTCCTAGAGCCAAGAATAACAAGAAGTGCCCTTTCTAGCAGTGAGAACCTCCTAGCAAGAACATGCCTCTAGCAAAGGATCTTCTTCATCACTCGCCAGAGGAGGAGAAGAGGAAACACAAGAAGAAGCGCCTGGTGCAAAGCCCCAATTCCTACTTCATGGATGTGAAGTGCCCAGGATGCTATGAAATCACCACCGTTTTTAGCCATGCACAAACGGTAGTTTTGTGTGTTGGTTGCTCCACTGTCCTCTGCCAGCCCACAGGAGGAAAAGCAAGGCTTACAGAAGGATGTTCCTTCAGAGGGAAGCAGCATTAAAAGCACCCTGAATCAAGATGAGTGGGAAATCAAAACCATCCCAATAAATACATTTTGGATATATAGTGTTTGTCTTGTTTAACTGCTAGGAAGCTCCATCCTCGACTATTCAGAAGAGTGGAGCACTAAGAGACATTTGGGGCAGTAAGTGGCCAAGTTTTTAAAACGTCCGTTTAGGACATTATATCCACATAGGCTCATTTGGTAAATCTTGAGCTTGATTTAGAAATTGGGATGCTATATATAAATGGAATTTTTACTTCCGCCTATGTTTTGTTAGTATTGAAAGAACTGACTGTTAATCAAAAAAAAAAAAAAAAAAAGAATAACAAGAAGTGAAAGCCAGCCACAGTGAGGGCTGCTGCTCTGAGGGCATGCAGAGATTTAATGGTCAAGGCCAGACCATATGGTCTATCAAGGCCCTGCTGCTGTAACCCCAGAGAATACAAGTCAGCTCCCAAGGCAGCTCACTTTTGTTTCCCATTACATCAGTCACCGAGCCTCCTGAGGGCCCCCTTCTCCCACCTCTTGCATTGATTTTTGCCACAGGCTTCTTTCTGCTGTTGCTGGTTCAATTCCAGCTGCCAATGCTTCTAGCAAGCTCCTTGGGAACTTGTTTCAAAATGTCTACATGGTGCAAGAAGGAAGCAGAAAGCTGCTTGGCTTAGGAGGGTGAGGTATCTTCTTTAGCTTAACCTCAAAACAGGTGACATGGACAGCTGTGCCTCAGCTACCCAGTCAGGAAAAACAGGTGTGAAGTTAGCTCTCCAGCAAAAGCTTTTCCTTCTGAGTGCTTTGCAAGCAGGTAATGCTGGATTCCAGCACAGAGAAGGTGGAGACAGCATGTGGGGGTATAAAGACATATCTCATTGTTTCTTCTCCTCCTCCTGAAACTGGAGTTTTGGACCCGAGGACCAAACTCCTGAGATTCCACATGCCAGCTCTAGTCACCCCCCCATAAATGCCAAATAAAGAGGCATGGTGAAGGCAGAGAAAGGAGGTTTGTTACATGGGTGGGGCATGCCGTGGGAAGAGACAGAGTAAGCGCTCAGCTCATCTTCAGCAATCTTTGGGGTACAGACATGAACTATAGATTTAAATAGACAAAAGAACTGGGGGCAGGGGACAAGGTATGCATAGTTAAACAGTCCTAGTCACATTATCACAGGACCTGAGATAATGGTCCTGGTTGACCATTATCTCAGTCCAAAGGTTCCTAGAGGGTTTCCAGAGAAGATGTTATCGCTGTCATCACTTGAGGGTGGTGATCTGGTTCCCATGAGGTGATTATTCCTGCTTCAGGATGCAGACTCATCATTATAGGTAATTGTCCTTATTTGGAGGGGTGGTCTGTCCTACACACTCCACTGGTCTTTATGGAATGTTTTAGTCCCTTGTACAAACATGTTACCAGTTCTGTCTTTTTTGGATTTCAAGGTGATTGCAGTGTGACTGTAAAGAGAATGGCTTTGAGCAAAGACAGATACAAATGGAGGCAGGCATGCCAAGCTTCTCCAGTTTTTAGTTAATTTGTGGGTCCAAGTAAGGAGTCAGTGCTTTTCAGCAAAAGCAACTTGAGTGCCTCTTACACTACCCCTCCTCCTCTTTCTCTTTCTTTTCTCTCTCTCTTTTCCTCTCCCTCCCTCTCTCCTCCCATCCCTCATTTCTTTCTTATTCTAAGGCAGTTATTCAGCACTAAGGTAACCGCCTTTTTCCAGCAAAGGTATAACAACTTTCAACCTCACCTTGGGGATTGCTCCTGTGTACTGCAGCATGCCCACCATCTGAGACAGGACTAGAGACATGAGAAATGTTCAACAGTTTCCTCACTTTTGAGTGACTGCATATTTTTTGAAAATAAAAGCTGAAATTCTGCATTTTTTCCTGTGTCTAGTGCCATAATCCAGTTGGCAGGATATTGCTTCAGGACCTGAAACTGCTGTCCTTTCCTCACCTTTCCTGGGTCACACTCAACAAACACAAGTGCCTGGGTAGAGAGCTGCCCTAGTCTCCTCAGATGCCTTGTTCTTCAAAAAAACCTGCAAGGACATCAGAACTTCCTCTTCCCCTGTGCAGGATTTTGCCGGACTGGAATCTTAGCAATTTCCCTAACCTGTATTCTTCTTATTTTCTTTCTCTGTATATGATGAGGAAATAAGACGAATGTTGTATTTGTCTCTGGCATACAGACAAAAGAAGAGGGATCCAGCACTTTGACCTTTAACTGCCAAAGTCAATTTTGGGGTGTGTGTTCAATTTTAAATGTGCATATACTCCCTGCTTTCATTTGACTCCCTCCTCCCCGTTACACTTTGAGGAGTTTTACATATCGCTTGGTCATACTTCTTAACTTTATTTTTAAAAAATTTATTACTATGTATTAGTTGTACAAAGGAGATTCATTGTGACGTTTCCATTCAAGCACATACTGAATGAGCAAATTCACCCCTCTATTACTCTTTTTTACTCCACTCCCCATTTTTAAAAAATAATTTTAATGGGTTTCATTGTTACAGGATTTTTTTTGGCCCCTGGCCTAAATTCCTGGGTTCCATAGAGATAAATTATGGCAGAGGTCAGAGAAAGGAGATTAAGTTGACACAATGTGGACACACTGTGGGAAAAAGCAAAATAGCATTTAAACCCATTTCCCCCATACAGACATTGGCTTTTCCTTTAAATAGAGGAGGAAGAAATGGGGACAGAGGGAGAGGCATGCATAATTATTAAGCAGTCCCAGTCATTTGTGGGATCCAGTGGTCATAAGGGGTCATAAGTAGCAGTCACAGGTGGTCAAGGAGCTCATTGTCTCTGGATTGGTAAGGGCCTTGACAATAAGAGTCATTGCTGCCTGGCAGGGGGTAGCTTGTCTCCTATCACCAGCTATTTATCCTTTTTCTTGTCCTTCTGGATTCCAAGTTAGCTGCAAAGTGACTGCAGGAGAGAATGGTGCAGAGCAAACAACACAGATCCAAAATGAAGGCTGGGATGCCTAGCTTTTCTCCTATTTTCAGTTAGGTTGTGGGCCCATGCAAGGAGTCGGTGCTTTAAAGCAAAAAACAGCTTTTAAGTACCTGTTACATCATTGTTCTATTTTCATACGTGCAAATAAAGCACTTCAATCATACTCACTTCCCCCCATCACTCTGCTTTTGCCCTCCCTTCTCCCCATTCTTCTTAATCTTAACTCCCAAAAGGAACATCTACTTTGAGGTAGGGGGCAAATACTGAAATGAGAATTCCACCTCGTTAATGGCTTTTGTTTTGAAGAGTGGGTACGAAGACATCAGCTGTGGGAGCTGGAGCCTGATTCTTGAGGTTGTTTTCTCCTGTTGAATGGGGGGTGGTTCTGGCATTAAAGGACCACATATTTTGCCCCTAGTTCCATACTCTTTTGTGTAGATACATAGGTAGTCTTGTGTGTGTGGTTTTTTTAAATTAAAATCAGTTAATCACTCAGCATATGGACAGGCATAGTGGTTTACTTCTATACTCCCAGCAACTCAGGTGGTACAGATCAGGAGGACTGAGGCCAGCCCAGGCAAAAAGTTAGAGAGACTCCCCCATCTCAATTGTCAAGCAGGGTGTGGTGGTGCAGGTCTGTGGTCCCAGATACACAGGAAGCCATAAGTAGGAGGGTTGTGGACAAGGTTGGCCCCAGGGGAGAACAGACACCCTACTTGAAAAATAAAGCAAAAAAAGGGCTGGGTGTGGCTCAAGTGGTAGAGACCCTGCCTAGCAAGGGTGAGACTCTGGGTTCAAACTCCAGTAATACCACAAAAAGCAAAACAAAACAAAAACTGCCCAGTGTACTTATCCCTTTTTTTCATTGCAGACCCCAGTAACCCAGTGCACCAAGCCAGCACCCCAGCTGCTCTCCATTCCCAGTGGTCCACAGCTGCCTAACACTCAGCAGAACAGAACAGCCTTGCCACCCGAGGGAGCACTTACTATGTTGACCTTAAAGAGCAATTTCAACAGGAATAGAAAGGCTCAATTGTTCATAAACCTGACATTTATTACTTCAAGATTCTTTCTCCACAGTACAAGCTGCTCTTTACAATTTTATCAAATAAAGTGCTGCTTTCGCCAGTGCCCCTCTTTCAACCCCTGCTTCTTCCTACCACTGGCTGCTCCCACTTATCTGTAGGCTTCTTGAGGGTCAGGCTGCAGAACCCTAGAGGCCATTACCCAAAAAGAAAAGCCTTGACTACTCGGTGAAGGCCAGGCTGGGGTGAAAGTGGAAGGTGTGTGCTATTTTCTTCTCTTAATTATGCTACAATTATCAAGGGAGAAGGTAGATAAGATTTTCATTCTTTTTCTTTTTTTCTTTTTGAAATGCATCAGCTTCTACCTGGCATTTTCTAGGTTGCTAGGTTAGACTGAAAATTACAGTAAATCTGTTATAAGCATTTGGATCCCCAATAAATGATAGCAAATACACATAATTATTTCCCAGTTCAGTGGATGAGAGGACTCAATATAGATCTATTTGTATTATTTTATTCACAGGCCCCCAAATTGTAGAAATCTTAATGCTTGCCATCTTGCTTTGGCTGAACTTGGATTTTGGAGAATGGATGGTTCAATAGTCTGAAGGCAGGGGAGGATTTGAATGGATCATAATGAGTCCTACTACAAATTAGCTAATAGAATCACATGTAGATAGGATTTGGGGCACATCCTTTTCCAGCTGTGAATCAAAGGTGATGTTTTGGACTGTTACGTGACCTAAACATAGTAGAGTAACAGGGAACTGGGTATAGTCTAAAATGGGAACAACAGAAGTCCTTTTATAGTTTCAAATAAAACAAGCCAGTAGATTGTTGGAAGAAAAAGCAACACACGGTGGCAATCGGGAGAAAGACATTATAAAGCAAACATGTAAAGGTACCTTGGTTTGACTTTTGACACAAATCCTTTTCTTTGAGAATGAATCTGCTGACTGGGGATTGGTACCCTCTTGAACTGACAGTGTTCATGGGTCACCAAGTCCAATGTCAAACTCGGGTTTCTTCAAAGTCAAGCATGCAGGTGAAGGCTCTCATTGTTAAGCATCCTGAGTACAAAATACTTCTAGACTTTATGATTTTTCCCCTCTCCTCTACATGTTTTCCACACTCAATTCAATTTCATAGGCTTTTTTCCCAGCTTATTTTATTGAATCTTTTCAGAATATTCTGCTTAGTTTTCATAGAAACATCAATTGTCTATTCATACTCACATTGTATTAGTCTAAGGAGGTTAAGGTAACTTGCATAAAGAAATGAAAAAACAAAAACAC